TATACAGATAAGATGTATCATTTAATTCCTTCCAAAGATAAACACTATGCAAATATCCACGAAACGGCAGTTGTAGTCTTTTCTGCTAGTGTTTTAAAACACTAATTTGAGCAACGTTATTTCGCAATTTCGATCTTTTGTAAACCTGGGGTGATGTATCAAGGTCTAAAGTAACCGTTTTATCTATTTTTGAAAAATCAAGAAAAAAGTGAAAATTTCCCTTCTCGCTACCTTAAATAAGGTAATGGAAGAACATTTCGCAAATTTCCATACACTTCCCATACAAAAATAAATGCTATTCAATTCCATAGACATTAAATAGACAAGCCATGCATGGCACAGTTCCTGTTAGTTATCAAATTTAAGATATATAGTTTTGTTTATAGTAATATAGCTGGAATATAACCATGTCAGGAATATGATTTTTCAACATTAAAATGATTGACATTTGTATCTGATCGTCAAAAAAGTACTTGTCCATATTGAGAGATATTGCTCTGGAACAGCATTCAAAATCAGCCATTTTGAATACATGTATATATATAACATGATGTATAATGAATATATAAAATTTGAATATAATCACTCAAAGCATTTAAGAGATATGGCTCTAGAAGCCCAATCATTAAAACAAAATGACCACCATTCGGCCATTTTAAATAGGATCGTCAAACCAATATATCTGTTTATTTATGATATGATGTATAATGAATATTTAAAATTTGAATATAATCAGTCAAAACAAGTCGGAGATATGGGTTTAGAAGCCCATTCATTAAAACAAAATGGCCGCCAGACAGCCATTTTGAATCCAATCTGTAAAATAAATGATGTGCATCAGGAACCTGTAATGTCTAATATATGTACCAAGTTTGCACGAAATCCATCCATAAATGCTTGATATTTAATGATTTTTTAACACAAAAATGGCCACCATTTGGCCATTTTGAATAGGATCGTCAAACCAATATATCTGTCTATCTATGACATGATGTATAATGAATATTTAAAATTTGAACATAATCAGTGAAAGCAAGTCAAAGATATGGCACGAGAACCACATTCATTAAAACAAAATGGCCACTAGTCGGCCATTTTTAATTTTATCTGAAAAACAAAATTATTTGCATCAATGTCCTACAATGTCTAATGTATATACCAAGTTTGAACAAAATCCATCTGTAAACAGCCGAGAAATGCTTGATTTTGATGATTTTTAGCACAAAAATGGCCGCCATTCGGCCATCTTGAATCAGATCAAGAAACAAATTCACGTGCATATGTATAATATCATGTATGATGTATGTGTGAAGTTTGATTGTGATTGGTCCAGGCATTTCTAAGATACAGGTCCGGACGCACGCACAGATGCACGCACGCACACATGCACGCACACACGAAAGCATGCACGCACGCACATACGCACGCACGGACACACAAAGGTCGAAACTGTGTCCGAACGGGGACTAAAAAGAGGCTAAAACAAAATTTCTGTAAAAGATTTTCATAAGGGCATCGATGTTATGAGCATTTTATCAATATAAATTTGTATAAATCGAAATGAATGGTTGAATTCAAATTGACCAATCCTAGAACGATATGGCAAGTACTATATAAATATTAATGAGTTACTTCAAAATCGTCCAATAAAAAGTAAGCCTTTCATTTTGAATATATGCTATGATACTTGAAGGCTTGTACATGTATGTGCATTGTGGACGTACACAATGTGGTGCACTTGCTATATCATTAAACAGTTGAACATATGTAATTTGTAATTTTAATTGTAATTTTAAATGTGAATTTTGTAATTTTACAAATTACAAATATTTTATTAATATGTTTATAAAATAAGGAACAGCTTTCTGCCTTTCACTGTATTTTCCACAGTATGACAGAATAAAGAATATTTCCAAAATGCATATCAGTTATATTACTGCAAGTGTACCAATTTCATTGCGCTTGCTAGTGTGACCCAATATTTGACTAGTGCTGTTAGGTTTTTATGTTCTCTGTTAACAAGGAACTATGGAATTAAAAATAGTCTACATTGGTAAGTTCATGAAATAATTTTAAGAATTTTTTTTATTCAGTCGAACAAACATAAATTTTAAAACAAAATATCACAAATCGCAAAAGTATGCACACATAGCATTCTCAAGCATTAAATCACAGTCAATAAACACATACAAGTCGTGTTTAAAAATACAATTTTATGAGTTCGTGACAAATTTAGCATGTTACTGAACAGATGTGCAATGTATTATGGTGATTTCTTCTTATTGTATCTAAAGCAAATTAAAACCAAACTGGAAAATCAGTTTATAAATTAAATCTTCTTTTTTTGGTTTGAACAATATTAACATTTATATCAATAGCAATACTTATTTCCTTTTTAAAAATACATATAAACCAAAAATCACATTTGTTGTATAATAAATCATTAAAAATTTTACTTATTTCGACCAAAGAAATTCACATATTAAGTGCATGTTCTACTAATAAAGCAACTATGAAAAATGACTTTTTCATCCCATATCACAGAGGGAAATATAAAGAAACAATTTCACTAAAGGAATCCATCCAAAAAAGGTTGCTACCAGGTATATTTGATTCTCGAAGACAGACCGGAAACGGAAACAAGACAAAACCAAAAGATTTTTCAAGTTAGCGTGGGGGAAATAACGTTGCTAAGTATTATCGTCAGGGAAAGCTATTGTTTAAACTAGTCTGTGATTGGTTGCTGGCAATGTTTGGGGGATTTTGAGCAGTTTGTGACGTAGGCTTGTCTTAGAGAATGAGTTTTTTTGACATCATAATTTGGTACTCAAAAAAACGTCTTGTGACCCACTTTTTTTTTATTTTTGCAACCTACGATTATCATATCATTAATTAATAGTGAAATCATACATATAACCATCAATTCAAAACCTCCATATAAAATATCACATCAGAAACATGCAGTTCTACATACACCATGCTATTTTTTATATTTAATACCCGACTGTAGAAGGCAGCACTTCATAAATAAAAAATCCAGCAATATTTCTCTTTGTTCAAAGCTCGTGATTACCGAGTATTGCTGGAAATGACTCAGATCGAAAGATATCTGGCGGTAATCACTCATGTCTGTGGATGTCAAACCATGGAAAGATAATTTTATCCTGTATATATCACTGTACGTTATATTTCACTTACTTTATCCATTCTGTCGGCTTCAACACCATAGTTTCCACCATATCCATGTGATGCCTTCGGCCCTGCTTCATACTCTGCATGCTTTTTCTGGGCATCATCGGTTTTGACTTGATCACGTAAATTACCAATACTGCATTTCATAAAAAGCAAAAACACATGAATGCATAAATTTCCCTTAACTGTAACTATAGTTACGAAGTCATTTTTGAATGTTTGCCTGAATAGAGATGTATAATGTAAATATTATAGAGTATGTTTCTTTAGAATGCCAGACCCTGTGTACACAGGTCATAAGGTTAAACCTTTTCATTTAGTCTTGTTCCATGTTTTATTGATTTACTGTACATTGCTTATTTCTTTGTTATTATTATTTCATCTATTTTTTTTTTTCAATATTATTACATATATCAACATTTTTTTTTATTGTAGTTTGTCTGTTTGTTTGTTTGTTTTTTTAAACCATTGTCGTGCTTTAGATAGTAATTTTTGTAAAATTTGTATGTTTTATATATGTGTTTAAGCAGTTACATGTAGTGTAACCATTTTAATTCCTTCTGAGGAATTTTAAGTGTTTCAATAAACTTAATTTTTTTTATATCAAGTATGACTTTGTGTAAACTAAATGTAATCTCTGTATAAACTGGGAAATGGTCTAAACGAACCTTAGTCAATCATGTAATCATGTCAATCAGTCAAATCCTATTTATGCTAACTAGTCAGTATGCTCGCATGAAAAATCACAAACAAGGGCAACCTCTATATTGGTATTCAATTCAGATAGAAAAAAATGGAGGATTGATGCTTGTGTGTTTTTCAACTTACTTAATGGATCCTTGTCTTCCCGACCCTTCTACTGTCTTGGCTCCCCATCTCTGCTCCTGTTCAGTTACATCGTTCTACACAACATTAAAAAAATATAAATCTTGTAATAATGGTAAAAATCAAGTTGAGAACTTTCTCCATGTATATCAATGTCTATAAATGTACTGTGTTAGAATCTTTATTGATATTATATCCATGTAACATTAAATTTTGTATTACAAAAAGGTGTGAATCGCAATTGCAAAATAAAAGAAATAATACAAAGTATGGGTGATGATATTGACCAACGCATAGCATACTTTGCAGTATTCTTGTGATATCAGCATTATTGAGAGATAATTGCCTTAAATAGCAACAAAAAAAAACATTTCTTCCAATGCATCAGATTCAGATTTCCATGCTGTTAAGGGATTCTATTTCTGTGTTTCTCCTAGGCTGACCATGTGCTAGTTAGACGATTCAATTTTCTCAATGGTGGAATGCGTAGAAAAGATTTTATTTTAGTAGATATGGTCTATAATAATCTGATGTATTGTATTGTTTCAAACAAGCAGGAAAAAAATAATAACATAAACATGAGCAGTGTGTCCTCTAAATAAGATGTCATCATTTTGTAGTGATCGTAGTCAAAATAACATCTCCCAAATCAAACCGCTGCGAAGAGTTGTTTTCAAGAAAAAAAAAAATTGTATGTAGCTGTAGGTGGCTTTGGGCACAAACAAAAAAAGAAGTGGGCTTCCCTTGATTTTACATTTTGTTAATAAAATGTGAAGTCTAATTTACTAATTACAAATTCTCTAATTACATCAAAGCAGGAGGATTGTCATCTGCATACGCGCAGGAATTGAGTCCCAAGCGATGATAACAACACACACTAAAAATGCAAAGGCTAATTGGTAGACGGTGTTTGAAAACAATGACATGCTATGGCCATCTGATGCATGCGCAAGTGACGACTCCCCCGCTTTAAGATGTTATTTCAAGATCACTATATCTAGGTAGTTTTATGTTGCCTCAATGACACATCGGGCAATTTGCATACATATACATGTAACTAGTCACGTCACAGCAAATCTCTGTGCTTCACTGGTATGTCATATTCACTTATAGGGCCCACTGAACATGAAAAATACTAAAACAAATAAATAAATAAAAATAATAATATAATAAACAGTGACACTTTCAGCAACCTGTTATACTGTATGTGTATGTTACATGATATCATAGAACTCACCACAAAATCAGGATCTGTTTCCCAATCATCATCATCAGCTACTGTTTCTACCTTTATGTCATGACCAGCTGCTCCTTTCCACATCTTTATTTTCTCTGCTACATGGGGAAAGGAACAAACTTGTTTTTATTATTATTATTATTATTGATGTATATCATTCTTAGAGCTTTATTGGACTATCATAACTGATGCATGGTATGAATATGCAGGAAATATTTTAGGATTCACCATTGTTCCAAATTTGAAACAGAGCTGAATATTTCGGTATCCACACACACATGGAAACATCATTCAAAAATATTAGAAAAAGATGACACAGTAAAAATGTGTCTCCCCAAAAGAATCCTGCAGAAGTCAATAACAGGAAAACATACCATAGTTTTTGAAAAAAAAAATTACAAAATGGAAACAGAAGATTTTCAACTAAGTGATCATGAAAAAATAAAAGCACAAAACTAAGTGAGCGGGAAAACAAATATTTGCACTGTTTTTCTGCCATTTCCTCTCCTAGTGTTTCTAATTGTTTATTCATAACAGTAACACAAAGTTCTAGGTTTGGGTCAAGTTGAAAATGGACTACTGTAAAATACTTTATTCTAGTGGGAATTAATTTTCGCTGAAAAGACTTTTTGGGTGTTTTGTATGGAATTTATTTTCACTGATTTTTGACAAGTTTAATGTAAAATATAGGAGAAAAGGTATATTACCTCGGTAGCTGGATTTTATTTTCACTGAATCATTTATTCATTAATTCCAAGCGAAAATAAAGTATTCTACAGTAGTTTATAATATTATTGATTTTGACCATGGACTTTCATATAGAGTTTATGTGTTGGCACTTATTAAAACGATTAACGTTAAAATAAGATCACATAAACATTACAGATTTAACAGACTTCCTCAATGAATGCATGCATCCAAAGTACATATATAAACATGATATATGAACTGATAAAATGTACAAACCGCTATATATTAAAATAACTGATACAACCTAAACCTGGTTACTGGATATCATTGTGAAACAATTCAGATTCGATATGCACGAAATCAAACGTGTTAATGGCAACATAATAACTGTGCTGAGTCGCGCAGCTTTATTAGGACCAAAGAAAGGCGTGTCTAATAGCGGGTCGTGACCTGTCGCTTGGCTGTACAACCTGGCTTAACGGAGGTCAGTGATCGTACAGGAAGTCGTGGTTTAAAGATATATTTTGTTGCTTCTTTTTTCACCATTCGACTATGCCACTTCGTCCCATGGCATACAGTCATGTGATCCACACACAAAAACTCATGGTCACTCCACACACAATCAATATTACTCGACTTCCTCGTCTGCAACTGGGCGGTGCAAGAACACCAACTTTTCGCACTGAACGATACGCTCCACGTGAAATCAACGCGTAGTTTCATATAGTCGGATTCTTGAAAACAGACCCAAAACTAAAATTGGACATCCGCAGGATAAACTTACCGTAAAATTAGCAATATCTCAGTAGCGGGCCCCCTCCTACGATGATTAACTTGAAACTGTGCTCACTTCCTGTTTCTGAAATGCTGTACTTCCGTGTTTATAGCTTGATATTTCTAGTCAAAGTGTTCGACTTTAATTTTCGTTTTATTTTGTTACGGGTAAAAATCAGGAAGCTTTTCTATAAATTGACTATATAGTAATCAACTAATGATTGTTAAAACAAAATATTTCAAATAATCATCGCTTGTGTGACATCTGTGAAAACCGTGTTCTTGAGCAATGAATCACACGCTAGTTTAACCGTTGTTGGGCCTATGGAGGGCGCTTTCAAGGTCAACTGCCCTGCTTCAAGTTGCTTTCAGTTCCGGGTCCATGGTTACGAGTAACCTTGCTTCCAGCTAGAAAACCATGTTCTAGAGATGTTTTACTAATTTTCTATGAACTGAAATAGTCTGCGTTTGCTGTCAAGGTTCGGCTTAATACTGTGGAATCTCGGGAAAACCGGAGACAAATGTTGTTATCATTTCCAGTGTCTTTGTGAAAATCACCATTTCATAGTTCACTCCAAATATTACAAACATATAAAATTGGGGATCGCATCGATACATTGTCTTGCTATGCACCCCTGAATATGAAAAGTGGGGTTATTTTCAAATTAACGTAGTGATTTTATTATGAAGGTCAAAAGATGTCATAGATACAGTGATGGAGTATTTGTCATGAAGCGATGTTACGCAGTGACGAGTTTTATTTTATAATCGAATATATCACGCTTCTCAGATTCAATTGTCGCATTGTAACAGGTGGTTTCCCGGGTGTTCTTTTTTCTCCGAGTCAGGGGTTCACTGTACTGTCATTCAAATATGACAGTTATCGTATCATACCGTTCCGACAAACGTACCACCGTGACTTGAACTAGAACATTTGAGAGGTATGTAATAAAAGAAAACGAACGCATTCATTCCCGGCGCCTCTACAAAGTTTAACTCTTTTGGCGATAAAACGACCGGGATTGCCAACTTAAATTCCGTGTTTCTAAAAACATTAATCAGACGAAATATAATCCTAAATAAATAAACCTAAGATAACAATAAAAATTATCACTTTTTGCTTAGCAAAAAGCGAACGAGCGAGGTAGATATTCGGCTTCAAGCCTAAAGCGTACTCGGCAACTTCCGGGAACTTGAAGGACTCGGAAATCGAACGTCCTCGTTAATTCCACGGTGTTACAGATGACGCGATGCGTATCGTTACCGTGACGAACTAGTACAAACGAAACAATACTAATTATAAATGATTTGCATATGTTGAATGAAGTGTAAATATGCATTGTTGTTTCTGTCCAGTCGTCATAATAATCGACGCGTTTACATCAAATATCAGGAATAATAGCAACGCGTATTAATAATCGTTCGTGATTGTTACGTAACGTTCTTTGTGCGTCTGTCGACGATGACTAGACGCGCGCCTGTGTTATGTTCATTATTAAACGTTCGCATTAGCAACTCAAAGCATCTAATATCCGATCGTCCAGGATACTTCAGGATTCAGAATGATTCAACAAATTTCAAGAGTGATGAACAGAGCAGGTGGGTTGTCTATACATATACAGTAACGTAATACAGTCAACGCACTCATTGTCACGCGTTACTAAATTCCGGTCTTCGTTCTAAATTCCGGTTTTCATATTCGTCTGTTACGTAGAAGTATGTGCACAAGTCAAATTTCAAAATATTGAAAGAAAATCGAAAACCAAGCAAACGGGTATAATGTTTCCATAAAGTATGGATATTATTATCACAAAGTTTTCACTTTAAGAACTTAAAATGCGTACCGTGTAAGAATCCCCATGACCGACAACCAGACTTCACAATCGGTGCGTTCTTCGTAATCTGCATTTTTCAACAAATATATTGAAATTTGATAGCACAAATTTATTTCGATGTAAGTACAGACATAGTAGAAACAATACACTTGGTTCGTTGGGTTATTGTTTCAACAACCATCGTAGGTCGTTGTGGGTCCCTTTCATGCAATGAAATTAAATAACACCATGGAGGCTTGACTTGAGGGTTATATTGTCTTTAATGCGCACCATCTATCACATAACCATG